CGATTCAAGAGGCGGGGTGAGTAGTTTTCGAGACTTCCTGGGCATAGGTAAATTTGTCAATGAGCTTGAATTTTTTTAACGCTGTCAGAGGAAAGTGAACAAGCTGTGGACACTGCCTCTGTGGTTTTGAAGACGTTAGTGTGTTCTTTTTACAGTGAAGCAGCCCTTTCGTGGATTATTATTTTCTTAGCGCTTTTTGTGATGATGTGAGGAGAAACCCGTATTTTGTGATAGTGAAGCTGCACGAAAGCAATGTAGATCAAGAGAGGAGTTAATCAAGGCAGACCTAATCTAAAGCAATATATAGATCTAGAAGCCAGGTGTGAAGGTGGAAGTGAAAGGCTAGACAGCAATCTAGATCTAGATGAGAATGTAGAACCATGAAAAAATTACCGTACTGAAGATAGTTCAAAGACCAAGCTAAGTTTCTATAAATTCAGTAAGTGCTTGCATTCGCCTAAAAAAATAGAAAAATAGAAAGCACTATCGGCCGTGTACGATTTTCCCGCTTGTCATTTCAATGCAGTGTTCAAGACATTGACTATTCCGTTTTCTATGATATAAAAATTGCTCTTCCGACAGAAATAAACAAATTTTAATCTTCTTTGGGCGCCTGCAGTATGTTGCAGATTGTTAACAGAGAGTTACTTTTCAGTGGTAATTAGACTCACAAGATGTATCTTTGTGATAGGTCTAGATCTAGATATATCTAGACATGCTATGGACCATACAAGAATGAAAAACACTGGATTCCTGGAATTATACTTCAACCAACAGACGTTGAACTTTTATATCCCAACGAAAGCAACTTCCCCTTAGACTCAGACCATGCACACTTTTCTAACAATTAATAAAGCTCAGGGACAATCTCTTCGTACAATTGGTCTAGATCTCACACACACAGTATTTTCACATGGAATGTTGAACAAATGTTGTATGTCCCGAAGTGGAGATAAAGATGCTGTTCACATCCAACAGTCAAACCAGGAATGTTGTATCCAGAGGTTTTGGACGATGCACACCAGTCTTAGGTGAGTTTCAATTTTGAAAATTCATTTTTTTAAAATAATGGTATATGATATAACCACCCTGTTTTAATGAAATAGCTGTTTATTAAATCGCTGCAGTATTGACATTTTTATTTACGTCGCAACATTAATTTTGTCGAGAAAACATTATTGTGATTATTTTCCCGTTCACAGAACGGGTGTGCAGGCTAGTTTATAAATATAATACATTTGTGAAAGTTCGTCACTTTGGCCGCCTAAAACTTCCCAACAAAACTTTCGAATTTGAGAAAAAAAAATAGGTGTGGTTCAGAATCATTTAAAGGGTGCACGGTTTTATTGAGGAGTCTGAAGTCACTTTAGTTTAATCTTCAGTTTTTCATTCGTTTCGTTTAGATCTAATCTTGGGAAAGTTCGTATTCTAAGACTAAGACGCCTTTGTAAACAAGTTAGGGTTCCGTTCACAAGCCCTGCGCACTGGTTCCTCAGCTTTGAAATTCTGAAGTGCACAACCACAAAAGTGGTATAACCCTGGGGGATTAATCTTTATATTAAATTTTGAAAAAAAAATATTGATGGTTCAGAATCATTTAAAGTGTGCACAGTTTTATTGAAGTGTCTGAAGTCACTTTAGT